GAACATCAGAGGAACTTGTGGGAACTTCTCTACAGACACGACCATCGCCGCCGATCACACAAGTTAGCTCCAGCGACTCAACATTCCGGGGAAGATAACCCGTAAACCGGACATTATTTAATGTTGAGCCGCAGAGCGCTGGAGGTCTTTCATACGCCTTCCTGTCTTAGGGACATGGCGGACATCGAGCGTGAGGTACAAACGCGTGTGTGTGTTACAAACACGGGGACATCGTTTTTAATCAATTCAACACTACCAACATGAACCCCAAACACGAACTTCCCGCCGCGAATGGCCGGGAACAGACATTAAATAAACGGTGAAGAATCGGCGGTGGCGGGACTAAATTTTCGTGGTATGGCGCGGTCTTATTCGGAGGAGTTGGGATACATAGAGCGTGTGGATGATACGAAGTGGCGTGTGTCGAAGGGATTTGTAGAGAATATGCGCGTGCCAGGGTATTTTTATGTGAATGAGGCATTGCGTCCATTGATGTTTGAGGAGTTGCGTGATTACTGTAATAGCCGGAAAGGTGCAAAGTCGGGTGGTTTTCTGCCGGCGATGAAGCAGTTGGCGAATGTAGCATCATTGCCGGGTATAGTGAAGCGTTCGGTAGCATTGCCTGATGTGCATGCGGGGTATGGTTTTGCCATAGGGAATGTGGCTGCCTTCGACATGGGTGATCCAGAGGCGATAGTGAGTCCGGGTGGTGTAGGATTCGATATTAATTGTGGAGTGCGAGTGATCCGAACGAATTTGATGTACAAGGATGTGGCTGAATTACAGGAGCAGTTAGCGCAGTCATTGTTTAACCACATTCCAGTGGGTGTGGGAAGTCAGGGTATCATTCGTTGTCGCGACACAGATCTGGAAGGTGTGTTAAATTTAGGTATGGATTGGAGTTTAAGTAAAGGATATGCGTGGGCCGAGGATAAGGAGCACTGTGAGGAGTTTGGACGAATGCTTACGGCGAACCCAAGTGCTGTTAGCAATCGTGCGAAACGACGTGGCCTGCCGCAATTAGGAACTTTAGGTGCAGGCAACCATTATTCAGAAATACAAGTGGTAGAGGAAATATACGATCCAAAGGCGGCTGCGGCCATGGGGATATACTCAAAGGATCAAGTACTTGTTATGGTCCATAGTGGCAGTCGTGGACTTGGACATCAAGTCGCTACTGACGCGTTAGTAGAAATGGAGAATGCTATGTTACGGGACAATATTAAGACCAACGATCAACAGCTTGCCTGTGCACGCATAGACAGTCCTGAAGGCCGGTCTTACCTCGCAGCTATGAGTGCAGCCGCGAATTATGCCTGGGTCAATCGCTCTTCTATGACTTTTCTAGTGCGACAAGCATTCGCTAAAGTACTCGGACAATCACCCGACGATCTTGACATGCACCTTATCTATGATGTCTCTCACAACATCGCCAAAATTGAAACACACCTCGTCGATAATGCACCAAAAAAACTACTCGTACATCGCAAAGGCTCCACCCGCGCCTTCCCACCCAACCACCCTCTCATACCTAACGCCTACCAACAAACCGGACAACCCGTACTCATCGGAGGAACCATGGGAACTAACAGCTTCATCCTCCTCGGCACCGACAAAGGCTTCCAAGAAACATGGGGCTCCACCTGCCACGGCGCTGGCCGAGCCCTCAGCAGAAACAAAAGCAGAAACTGTCTAGACTACCAACAAGCCCTCCAACAACTTGCAGACAAAAACATCAGCGTAACTCATACAGCCAGCCAAGCACCTTCACAGCCAACTTCAAGCCCCAACATGAGCACCTCTTGGGCTACTCTCTACTAAAAATGACCACCAGCTTCTTCTTCAGATTCGGGTTGCGAGTCCCAAACTAGTTATGGAAGAGGCGCCGGAGTCGTACAAAGACGTGTGTGCGGTCGCTCAGGTAAGCAGCCACTACCCCCCCCCCCCCCCCCCCCCCC